GAGGGAGGCGGCCTGGGGCGGCAGGTCGGCTGGGCCGGGATAGGGCAGGGGTGGCCCAAGAGAGAGAGAGGGAAGGAAAAAGAGAAGGAGAAGATGGAGACTTTGGGCTGGGCTCGGCCCAAAGGAGGAAGGAGGGATTATTTTTAATTTTCTTTTTAATAAACTTTCTTAATTGTTGTTGTTCCTTAATAAATATTTCCGGTGCTCTGAAAATTCAAATAAAATTTAACAAAAATTCTCCGGACCACATTTGAATTTTTATTGTACGTATTTTAGTGTTTGCCAATTTCTTTTTGAATTTTAATTAATTCTATTATTCCTTTTAGAGAATGATTTTTATTTTGGGATGAATTTATCAGGATGTGACAAGGATTGATCGGTAGGTGTCAACTCGCTTCGTGGAATCCCCATCGCGTCCAAGGTGCTGGCGAAGAGAAGGTTGATGGAGCTGCCTCCATCGACGAGGATTCACACTACCTTGATATTCCGAATAGTAGGTTCAACCACAATCGGATATCGTCCTGGGATAACAGCAGCCTTGGGGTGGTCCTCGTCTAAGAACTCGATCTTCTGTTCAGACCACTTCATCTTGGGTGCAACCCCCTGCAATGTCGAACAAACCTCACACTCCACTTTTTTGTATTCTCGCTTTAAAGAGTACGCTGTCGAACCTCCGAAGATGTGCGAGACATGAAGATAGGAATCTAGGTACGCCAAGTCCGAGTCCTGAGTGGTTTCCTCAGTGGCCTTCTCGACTACACGTACTCGCTTGCCCTTCTCCAAAGCCAGTTGCTTTTCCAGCGACTTCTTGAAGATGAGGCACTCCTCTAGAGAATGTATGTCCGACTTGTGTATGGGGCACCATATTCTCTTTGTATCACTGCCTTGTGGGTCTGGGTGTTTGGGTGGGCGCTCGTATTCAGACGCGAGGACTTCCGCTTGAGCTTTCCTCTTCCCACTCTTGCCGCTTTTCTTCTTGCTTGGTTTGGGTGTGTCCTTGGCTGGCTTCTTATCTCCTCCCGCCTTTGGCTTGTCGTTCTTGCGTCTCAGTGCGTCGTCTGCATGGGCGCATCGATCGACAACCTCGAACAACCTTCGAGTAGTTGTGATTCGCCTTGTTGCCAACTCCTGGGTAGTATAGCAATCTCTGACACCGGTTTTGAAAGCATGAATCACAGAAACATTGGTGATATCGGGGATCGTATTTCTGCACTCATTAAAGCGCCGAACATAGTCCCTCAAAGATTCGCCCGGATTCTGTGTTAACGCGTGTAAATCGTCTTCGATCGCGTGGCGCTTGTAAGTTCCTTGGAAGTTAGCGATGAATTGCTGCCACAAATCTGCCCATGAAGAGATCGAGTAGGGTGGGAGGTGCATCAGCCACGAACGCGTAGAACCTTTCAACGCCATTGGCAAATAGTTTGCTAACGCGTTGTCGTCTGCCCCGGCAGCATATAGTACCGTGGAGTAGACCTGGAGGAATTCTTCAGGGTCAGTACTCCCATCGTACTTCTCTATTGCTCCGGGTTGGAATCTCTCGGGCCATCGGACATCACGTAGAGAACGGTTGAAAGCTCTACACCTAGCGCTGGGGGCGGTGGGTTGTCGGTGATCGTGTGTCCTCCGTGGATGTCTATCGAATGACGAAAATGAAGATGATGACGATGATGACGATGGTTCACTCGGCTCCGGTGTGCGATTCTGAGGGCGACGTTCAGGTTCTCGAGAATTCTGTTGTCATCCACCATTGTTGTCCTGGTGCCGATCCACATTATTGTCACCGTCATGTTGACGCCCTCGACCAGCATCGTCTGGTGTCCGCTGTTCGCGATCGTCGCGGTTGCGGCGGTTGTGACGATTATGGTGGTGTTGGTCTTCGTTCGAGCAGCCTCCTCGCTCTTCGTTCTCGCGACGTCGTGAAGAAACACGATATCGGGAATGATTCTCGTTGTCTCGCGCGCGTCGTGCTTCTCGGCGGCTATTCAGATGGTCGCGGAGCTCGCCGGTGCCGCGAGGTGGAGGGGTAGCTCGTCTAGGCGACGTCCGCTGCTCCGGTGGTTCGCCGTCGGCACCGCCAGCTGTCGGTCGTTCCAGTTGTGCTCTGTAGCAGCTTCCTCGAACGCTTACTGAGATTGGCTACCGATTCCCGTAGTCGTTCTGTCCATCGTGTGAGATCATCGTTAAGCACGGGGTCATAGGGAGCTTCTCTCAATATTGCGTTGACGGTGCCGAGTAGTTGGGCCGGCGTGACCGTCTGGTTCTCCGCCTCTGCGTTAGCGTGTGCAAACGTGCTAGTCCTACCGATGGCAAACACGTCGCGTGGTGTACTGGAAGATGACAAGCCATAGTTTTCGAGCAAGTGTAGGACTGATGGCTCATGGGGATCAATGTCGATTACTCCAACGAATCGATCCGAGGTCAACATCGCTCCTTGTTCCTTGTTTGTATCCTTAAGGGAGGTTCCTGACTGCTGGACTTTAGGAAGCGTCGTTTTCATGGCGCGGAGAAAGACCTTGCAGCTTGAGAAGTCGTGATTCTTCGTCTTGTGAATAGGACAATAGACATCACGAGTTGGAGAAGTACGCTGGATTCCACGCTCCTTGCAAGCACGAATTTCGGCTTGTGCGTTGAGAAAAACCCAGCATGCTTGCAAGTTGTGCTTCCTGGACTTGTGGATAGGACACTAGGGCTTTGTTACCTCGGAAGTTATCCTTGTCAGCTCGCAGTTCTTGTCAGAAGGACAAGGTTTGGCCGCACTAGGAACCTTCGACAAGGGATCGTCTGGGGTTATAGCCACGGCGTTCTCGTTTCCGGTCATTGATGGACCAGCCGAGATTGGTACCGTGGTGTAAACCGGGAAGACGATTTCGCCGACTTGAGTCCACACCAGCATTGTTGAAGTAGGGACTCCTTGAATGGGGCCGGTGTTGACGCCGTTGTCGACGAAGCTTGATGTCATAGTAGTAGAACCTTGAGCACCAAGGCCCCCTACCTGGCGCGCCACTGTCGACGGTGGGTACCCGTAGACCGGATATAGAGGGTATTGGGGTACGCTGGTACGAGGATCTACGTAGTACAACACCAAGGAAACAAGAGACAAAGATTATACTGGTTCAGGCCCCTTAATAGGTAATAGCCCTAATCCAGTTGATATGGGATTATATGGAGAGAACCACAAAGTACAAAGGGAATAACAGAACTCGACGATACCGACGAGATCGTAGTCGAGTTGATTCGACTAGATCACCCGGTGACTTGGCTCTTGTAGGCTCCGGCTTCGTAGACTGTGATCGTTGTGTTGGCTATGAGATTCGATGCCTTAGGTCCTCCCGGGGGGTCCCTTTTATATCGCAGGTCAGGTGGTCTCTAAGTAGGACTCGGAGACATCTGACCCTGCATGATATAGTGACGACCCAGTCCTATACGGGTAGGAACCTTTCCATTGGTGGACTTCGAGATGACTTTACTTAATGTATACAGAGAACGTCCGTACACGCGCCGATGTGCAGTATTGCCGTATAGCGTACATCCAACGGTAGAGGGTATACCTTATCCGTAACCCTGACACTTATACTAAGAGTATTGTTGATCTGTATCACAAAATAGTCGTATGAATGAAAAAATTACAGGCTCAATCACACACAAGCGATAAAATCACTCACAGGTGAATCAAACTAGAAAAGAAAAAAATGATTCAGTCAAAAATCCATCCTGTGGCTTTGCTGGATCTTGCTATAAAGATGAAGAGGATGGTCTGTGACTTGGGACTGGTAGTGGAGAGGGCAACCATGTGACGAGCAGTAGTCGACGATAGAATCGTGGAAGGATGTAGCGGTGTGGTCTAGAGATGAGCTCGACGTTGTGTAGTAGCAGCCATCCATCATCTAGCAAGCACGAAAAAAAAAAGCAAAAACACTCTCGTTCATGTCAATAGAGATGACGAGCAAAAGAAAAATTGCAAACAACCTCCATCACCGGCGGACTCCACCCTATCCTCTGCGACCAGCCACATGGAGCACGATGTGCAAATGTAGGACCCGTACAACCCATCAATTGAGATAAGTTAATATTAGAGATTGCACGTTAATTTGATTTGCAAAAAAAAAAAGCTTCATGCGTGAAGTTGAAGGAGAGCACGCAGATCCAAATCAGAGTGTCAGTTCCTTACTTGCTTATTGTATCAATGTCGCCAACGTGAAGCAGCCGCTGGTTATTGCTATTTGGCCTAGGTGAACACCTCCTTACTGGTTAAGGTGCTGTCCAGTGTCCGACAGCGAGGCCCGAAGCAGTGCCGTCGCCTCAACCACCGCCGGCCACTGCCATCAACCGCCACGATGTCGTCGTCCTCCTCCAGGGTGTGTTGCCAATCTGTGGGCTAGGGTGGTGTATCGATTCAGATAAAAAAAAGGAAAAAAATGAAGCAGGGGCGAGAGTGGTTGGTTGGGAACGGGAAAAATATAATATATACCGAAAGCAGAGAAGTTGTTTTTTATCGAAGTAAATCATTTACTCCGATAATGGTGGGAACACGATGCGGGACGTGGGGTGGGATCGAAAGCAAGAAAGTTATTTTTATTATCGAAGTAAATCGTTTACTCGAATAAAGGTAAGTGGTAGAGGCCCGCGATAGGAGTAAATCATTTACATCGACAACGGTAGGAGTGGGATGACGGCACGTAGGGTGGGGTGGGTCTGTGCTGATGCATGTTTGGCGCTCGGAATGCTGCGCTCCTAATAGTAGTTCTGTAGATTTTAACTAATTTAGTGCCAAAAATTTCCGAAATGGTAGGACGGGTAGTGGTGGACCTTACGGTCAGTAAGTTGAACCTAATCACTTGCACGGTTGCACCACAAATCAGTTCATTTGACAAGCCAACACAGTGATTAGAGTGTAGAAAAAGAAGCTCACCTAACTTGTTCATATAACTCAGCTGCTTCCAAAGTCGAAAGCCCTATTTGAAAACGAAGCCTGAGCTGCTTCCCTAGACCAAAAGCTACAGATGCACGATGGATACATATCCGATAGCGTGCTTCCTTGCCTTGCCTCGCCTCCGCCCCCTTTTATGCCACCCCGTGACATCACCGTTGGCATTGCACGAAATCCAAATGAATACAACGTAAACAGCTTCTGCCCGCCGGGCCCCCATGGCCCCATCATCGGCCATCCGAGTCAACCGAGTGAGCCACCCACCATACCAGCAGCTCCCACTCGAGGCGGACATCACATTATCGTCTCGTCTTCCCACCAGCACCTGCCGCGCTCTCCCCCCTCGATTCCCATTTGATCCCACACCTCCACCAACTAGCTGCCACGCTCGCTTTCCCCTGCGACATGCGTGATGTGTGGGCGCTCCACTTGTTAACCATCTCGCGCGCACGCCAGGCTCGGCTCCTCGATCGACGCCATGTCGCTGCGCCGGCTCTGCTTCGTGCTGCCCATGGACGCCGACGAGGTGGTGGTGGTAGCTGGCGCTGCTGGTGAGGAGCAGCCTCGACGACGAGGGATGGCAGCGAGCGGGAGGCTGGCGTCGTACGTCCGCCGCAAGGTCGGCCGCGCGCTGCGGTGCGGGCTCTGCGGCGCCTGGTGCCACCACCGCTCGTCGGGAGTCTGCAGCTTCGAGGACATCGCCGGCGTGGACGCGGTCGGCGCGGGGAAGCTCGGCGGAGGCGCGGGCGGGAGCCCCAGGATCTTCAGCTACTCGGAGCTCTACATCGGGACCAGTGGGTTCAGCGACACGGAGATCCTGGGCAGCGGAGGGTTCGGGCGGGTGTACCGCGCCGTGCTGCCGAGCGACGGCACGACGGTGGCCGTCAAGTGCGTCGCCGGCCGCGGCGACCGGTTCGAGAAGTCCTTCCTGGCGGAGCTGGCGGCGGTGGCGCGGCTGCGGCACCGCAACCTCGTCCGCCTCCGCGGGTGGTGCGTGCAGGACGAGGAGGAGCTGCTGCTGGTGTACGACTACATGCCGAACCGCAGCCTCGACCGCCTCCTCTTCAGACCGGCGGCGGCGGCGGCGCCCGCCGCGTCGGCTCCGGCGCTGAGCTGGGACCGGCGACGCCGCATCGTCTCCGGCCTTGCCGCTGCCCTGTTCTACCTGCACGAGCAGCTCGACACGCAGATCATACACCGGGACGTGAAGACCAGCAACGTCATGCTGGACTCCGAGTACAACGCCCGGCTCGGCGACTTCGGCCTCGCCCGGTGGCTCGAGCACGCCATGTCCGGCGAGGACGCGCCGCCGCCGCAGCTGGAGGTGTCCCCGTCGCCTCATTCCGCGCGGTCGTCGTCGTTTGCTTCCGCGAATTACCAGTTCCGGCTGATGGACACCAGCCGGATAGGCGGCACCATCGGGTACCTTCCGCCGGAGAGCTTCCAGCGCCGGGCCATGGCAACCGCCAAGTCCGACGTGTTCAGCTTCGGGATCGTCCTCCTGGAGGTGGCCACAGGGCGGCGAGCGGTCGACCTCGCGTACCCCGACGACCAAATCTTCATGCTGGATTGGGTGCGTCGGTTGTCCGATGAGGGGAAGCTGCTCGACGCCGGCGACCGCAAGCTGCCGGACGGCAGCTACCCGCTGTTCGACATGGGCCGTCTCATACACCTCGGTCTCCTCTGCTCGCTGCACGATCCTAGGTCTCGTCCCAGCATGAAGTGGGTGGTGGAGAACCTCTCCGGCAGCTGCTCCGGCGACCTGCCACCGCTTCCGTCCTTCCTAGCTCTCCCAAAGTACGTCTCTCTCACTTCCCCCTCCGATTCCGGCACGACGACGAACGCCACGGACAGCACGGTCACCTCTGCGTCGAAGCTCTACGGCACGGCGGCCGGGACGACCATTTACCTCACCGCGGAGAACGGCCACCGCTCCAGAGGTGGCTTGGCTGACAACAGCGGCGGCAGCAGCCAGCGATCGACGCGGCCGCTGGTGGTGATCCCCAGCGTCGACACTCCCCGTGAGATATCGTACAAGGAGATCGTCGCGATCACCAACAACTTCTCCGAGTCGCAGATGGTGGCGGAGCTCGACTTCGGGACAGGGTACGAGGGCTTCTTGGACAACGGCTATGGCGGCAATGGCGCCCGCCGCGACCGCGTCCATGTCCTCGTGAAGCGGTTCGGCATGAAGACGTGCCCGGCGCTGCGCGTCCGGTTCGCCAACGAGCTCCGCAACCTCGCGAAGCTGCAGCACCGGAACCTCGTCCAGCTGCGCGGCTGGTGCACGGAGCACGGCGAGATGCTCGTCGTCTACGACTACTCCCCGGGGAACCTCCTGAGCCACCACCTCCTCCGGCGCGATGGCGCAGGCGCCGCCGCCGTCCTCCCGTGGCGCCACCGGTACAGCATCGTCAAGGCCCTCGCGTCCGCAGTCCTGTACCTGCACGAGGAGTGGGACGAGCAGGTCATCCACCGCAACATCACGTCGGCGGCGGTGTTCCTGGACCCCGACCGTAACCCGCGGCTCGGGAGCTTCGCGCTGGCCGAGTTCCTGTCAAGGAACGAGAGCCACGGCGGCGCGGGCGGGCACCACGTTGCCCTGCCCGCCACCAGCTCTGCTGCGCGGGGCATCTTCGGCTACATGTCGCCGGAGTACATGGAGACCGGCGAGGCCACCACCATGGCCGACGTCTACAGCTTCGGCGTGGTGGTGCTGGAGGTGGTGACCGGCGAGATGGCGGTGGACGTGAGGTCGCCGGAGGTCCTTCTTGTCAGGAGAGCGCAGCGGTGGAAGGAGCAGAGCCGCCCCGTCGAGGCCATCGTGGACAGACGGCTGGACGGCCAGGTTGATCGCCCGGAGCTCGAGCGGTTGGTGAGGCTCGGCATGGCGTGCACCCAGTCTGACCCGGCGGCGCGACCGACGATGAGGAAGATAGTGAGCATCATGGATGGCAATGACGAGATCTTGAAGAAATTCGAGCAGAGGAAGCAGCAGAGCAAGGAAGAGTGGGAGACCACAAATGCTGCTGCTCTGTCCTTAGTAAGAAGACTCCATGCTCTTGCGATACACTGAACACAACGTCAATATGTATATATTTTCTCTAATAGAGAAATAAATTCTGTTATTATAGTTGGACACGATATTTTTATATATATTTATTAATTTCGTTCTTCAAAACCGATCTAACGCATCTCAGCTTGTCCATCTGATTCATATTATAGGTTGATTCCTTTTTTTTTCTAGTCAATTTTTTTCAAGCTTAATCAAATTTATAGAAAAATATAATACTATTTTCAACACAAAACAAACATATTATCAAACTATATTCAATGTTTCATATTATAGGTTGTTTTCTTTTTTTCTAGTCAAATTTTTTCAAGTTTTATTAAATTTATAGAAAAATATAATACTATTTTCAACACAAAACAAACATATTATCAAACTATATTCAATGTTAGATTTAATGAAGCTAATTTTATATTTTAGATGTTGTTAATTTTTTCTATAAACTTGGTCAAATTTAACATAGTTTGACTAGGAAAAAGTTCAACCTGACTTATAATATGAAATGGAGAGAATACTTTGTACTAATGAACTTGTGTCTTGTGGTACACAATCAACTACGTCTCGTAAAAAACCAACTTAGGACGATATATGCCGTTTAGTAGTACTACAAAATATCATATTCTTATTTTAGGTTGTTTTTTATGGGACGGACATAATATGTTTATGTAAGAATAAAAGGGGCTATGAGCTGTTGCATGCAAAAATGCAATTCATCATTCGATTTCCTAGGGTCGTTAGATCTCTGTATCCAAAGGCCGGGAGCCTGAGATCACTGATCCACCTTTGTTGGCCCGTGGACCACCGATCCACCTAACGGGTTAGGCCGTATTAATGGGTCTTTTTTTTTGTCTGGTTTGTTAATTTGTTTCCCTTTTGGATGAAAATGCACCCGTTTGTTTTTTGGGTTTCTTTTGTGTGCTCTATGTGTCGGCTAGGCTGACAATTATTTTAAATCTATCAGGCTGTTCGAGTTTCATTTTTTTTGCCCTATTTGGATGTGTATTTTGGGTTTCCCATGGGTCATTTTTATACTTCTCAACCTTGACAACTGAGAGCATGACAACATCAGACACAATCTCTCGAGTTCTTCTCTCTCTTCATTCTAGAGTATATATCAAAGTTTCCGAGCACAACCATAAACCACATTTATAGTGAAGAATAAACAACTAATAGCATTCAGTTGACTGCGTAGGACAATTTCTATCCGACAAAATAGTTACAATCTATTTTATTTCGAGAACACAAGGTCAGTATAAAACCTATTTCTTTTACAAATGGTCACATTCGAAGATATAAAAAAAAATTCACTTCTTTGGAGAACTAGTAGATTTAAATTCAGCAAACCAAAAAAACTTCATCTCCCATAAGTTGAGCTCAGGAAAAAAACACATGTGCGACTTTGTGGAGAAAATATGCCTTATTTATCTGTTGTGACAAGCATGCGACGACAGACAATAAAAAAATAACAATAGCTAAACTTTAATCTAAATACAACCCGAGAAACTCTTAAAATATACCAAGCTAATTAAGGAAGTGGGAGGCCGACCTAGGGTGTCTATGGTTGTGCTCCACCTGGTTGTCGCGCATTCCACATAGGCCTCAAAGCTAGAGTCTCAAACAAGTTACAAGCTCACTCATGGAATTCCGAGGTCACTCGAGGTGGCACAATATCTTGCTACTAACTCTTGGAATTCCGAGGTGAGACCAGATCCGTTGGAAAGAGGTTTCAATATCTTTACATTAAGTACCCATAAGCCCAAAACAGAGCTCATATGCACATTTAGCGGCAATTTTAAGTCAATTTCTGTAGGTGGCTGAATTGGACTCGGAACTTATACGATTTAATCTCGATATCTTCTAGTTAACTTATGATGTGAGCAATGGTTATATCTATAGTAGCCATGATCACATCATGCATGTTGTTATATTGCTCGAAATTATGGTAGCAGAATTATGGACTTACAAGAATGTTGACCTTGCCCTCGAACGAAGTGTGTACCCTGCCGCTCCTCTTTGTCGGTGCGCACTGACACGTTGCAGACGGAGACGATGATGGTGAGACCTTTGGTCATCCGCTCCTCCTGGTATCTACTCAACTCCACCTCATTTGGCACAGGTGTGCACTGTTGCGCTAAAGCCCGCGAGCTCCTCCACGATGAAACGGCTGCACACGCAGTTGATTATAATGGACGATTCGGTAGATAGATGTTATATAGCGTGTGGGTGAATAACCACTCAGATTTTGATGAGTAACCTATGCTTTCACTGTCGCCGGTGACAAGCACAGTGGCGCTAGCTAGTGAGCTAGGGCAGTGCTAGAACAAAATGGAGGAGGTTCCACTCCCATTCATCGTGTATTTGCTGCATTAGGACACGGTTGTCATCTTCAGGGTCTCAACCTTGTCCACACGTACGTCTCCAGCGAGCAATTGATTGAGAGATCTCTGAACATAGCATTGTAAATAGACAAAATTTATTACAGGACACCATACGAAGTGACTTTTGAGGAAGACACTATAAACATGGTAATTTTCCAGCGAACACCATACCATTAAAATAATAATTTTCGGTTGGAGAGGAGAGAAAAATCGTGTGAAATGTCAAAAATACCTCTGCACCTACATGTCAGCTCTCCCATCTCTCTTCTCTCTCTATCGGCGAACGAGGAGTTGTTGGGCGTCTGCTACTTGGTGTTCGATGTAATCCATCGGCGCCAAGGGGGGTTGGCTACTTGGCCGTGGATTCGCTGCACGGTGGGATGGACGGCACGACGAGATGGCGGTTCTCAGTGTTCGCTATTGAGTCAGCTATCCGGTGCAGTAACAAGGTCAAGCAGGTCTGGATAGTGGCAGGGGTGCGGGATCTTCTATGCGAAGGAGAAGGCGGCGCCATGAGGTGGTCGCACGTGGTGTGCCGTGTGCGGTGTTCGGGTCAGTGATTTCGCTGCAGCGATATGGGCGAACGGGTCCTTGTGGTCGAAGTGGCAGGACCGGCGACGAGACTCGACGCTGAGGCAGGGCCGGCTGGTGGCGCAGTGGTTTTTCTATGGAGCGGATTGCTACTCGATGAGATGGATGCACGGCAATGGCAATGACAACATTCTGAACCATTGTTGGTGTTTGGTAGTGATCTGCTATGGTAGTGAGGCCGGGGATGAGCCTCGAAGATGAGGTGTTAGAGTCAAAGGAAGAATAGCGGTGAGGAGGGTGACGGTGGTGATTGGTGCAGCGCATGGGGAGGGGCGAGGCATATCTGCACGGCGCACAGTCGGGTTTGACTTGGTGCAGAAGATAGCGGCACGCCGTGATGCTGGCTCGAGCTCAGCTGAGAGAGAGCTCAACGACCTCCCTCTATCCTACCGCGCGCGCTGCTTCCTGTCGGTGGCAATGACCTCTATGGCTCTGACAAAGGGGAGAGAGAGAAGGGAGATGTCTTCTCCTAAAAGTCTTTTTGTACGGTGTTATACAACTAAAACCGTGAAGTTAAAATATTATCTAGCAATTATAGCAACTCACCTTTAGATGTTTTTTGGTGATCTCTCTCACACAAATAGCTATAGGTACTTCACGGGTGCTCATTGTTTGTGTGCTAAGAGTTAGGAGGGGATTTATACGTTGTTGTGCAACAGTGCAAGTAGCCAAGTGTAGTGTACTGTGTACATTCGTGTTCGTTTCCGTATCATCGGAAAAATAAAAAAAACTTCTCATGTACTGTAAACTCGAGCTCTCGTTGCTGGGGGAACGCCGTTGCTTGCAGCTGTCTACACAAAGCCCATGTGACCATGTCTGTTTGGGTCCTCAAGAAATGTTCATGGGCCTGATGAATCTGTCCGTGCTCATCTCAGCCCATTATGACCCGTTCTAAGCAAGCCGGCTGGGCCGCATAGGCATTACGATTCGTAATAAGTCCACTTTGAGCCCCTTCAAATATAACTCCAACTTAATTCATATCTCTGAACCACAACCATAATACGGATGTCTTAACCCTCAACTATTAAAAATGGTATAATTTGACTCCTGTGACAAATTTTGAAGAACGGTTTCACTGACATGACACTTTGACTTGTTCAACTTGCTAAGTCACTATGTGGAGCCCACCCATCAGTGACTCTTATCTTTCCTCTCACTTTTCTCTCCATCGGATCGACGCCGGGCCGACGACGCCTATTTGCTGCACGGCTCGTGCTGGCCCCTGGCACGCCGCCGTCCAACTCCACCACCTCCTACAACATCACCATGACGCTGTCGCTGCGCAACCCCAACCTGTACCCAGGCATCAGCTACGAGCCCGTCGCGGTGGCCTTCTCCTTCAATGGCACCCGCTTCGTCGAGTCCGCCACCATGCCGGCGTTCTACCGTACCATAAGCCGAGGAAGACGGCTACGTTCCACGTCACGGTGGGCAGCATTGACAAGCCCTTCAGCAAGCTCACCGCAGCGGGGGTGGTGGCATTTGGCCGGCTAGCTGTGGTCTGCCCGCTGGAGCTATAGCTTGTCGACTCGGAGGTCGCCGCCATCGCGTTCTAGAGGACCAAGTGCACCATCCTCCGGGCCAACAAGTCCGCGGGGTGCTAGCTTGTTACTAACCGGGACTAAAGATTCTATAGCGGGACGGGACTATGTACCTAGTAGTAAAAATTCTTTTTAGTCACGGTTCTTATAATAGCCTTAATATTTGTGTTTTGAGCCATTCGATGAAAGATCAGTTCTCCAGTAGTGGAGAAAAACAAAAAGATAAATAGCCATCTATTTATCATTTTTATTTGTCGTTTTGTAGGTCATGTTTAGAGACTTCATTTTTTTGTCCGGTAGGTTAATATACTTCATGTTATAATTTTCTTTAAAACTTTTTATGATATTTTGTATTATATATTAGAGCAGGGGGATTGTTTTTCTAAAAATACACATTACATTACAAACGATTACAAACGTAGATATTGATAATGCATGCTAACTCCTTTAAATACACATGTACCTTCTATCCCTATGACCAACATATCTTAAATTTGAAAATATCATCATCTGCTACTAACTGTCAAGAAGTGTGAAATCTATAACTTAAATCTGGATATCTGATCTCACCACAGAGAATCCAATTAAACAATTAAACTTT